CGAACCGACATCGGCGCCCTGATTCCCCAAAACTGAAGAAAGGGGACTACGCATATCTTTCAACGAAAGATCTGAACCTCCCCAAGGGGAGGGCACATAAGTTGTTGCCAACTTATATTGGCCCCTACGAAATACTGGAGGTATTTGAGGACTCATCAAACTACGTCCTCAGGCTTCCCCCAGTGTTGACGCAAAGAAATATCTTTGCGAAGTTCCACGTCTCACGGCTCGCACCTCATGAGCCGAATGATTCTGTGCTGTTCCCTGGGCGCGCCGTAGAAGTGTTTTACGACTTTGGCGACGACCCAGAACAGGAATACCAGGTTAAGGAGATCGTCGACCATCGATGGGACGACGATAAGTCTTTATGGTTCCGTGTCCGATGGGGACTTGGTGACCTTACTTGGGAACCCTTGGCCAACGTAAACGATCTAATTGCGTTGGATGACTACCTAACAGTACAAGGGGTAGAGAACGTCGAGGAACTGAACCGTCAACGACGGGATCAGACGCCGGACAATAGATCCAGCGGACCATCACGACCACGGCGTGAACGTCGCCTACCGGTCCGATACCAGCGGATATCAATGCCTTATCACGGCCAACTATGGCGTTGAAGCCATGAGTTGCCTAAACTGGCAAGTCCGGGAATATCCGAATAATATCGGATAAATGCGACGAAAGCGGGATCAAATCCTGCTTCCTACCATCAAATTTGAAATCGCTCAAATGAACGCTACTGAATCCCCCCTCGCTGATTCCTCCCTCGACCTTTCCCCCATCAAGGAGGCCCTCGTAGACTCCAGTCCAAACTCCCCACCTGTAAGTCCCACCACGGATGCTGCCATGTCGTCAATGGACGACAACTCCACAGTCGCTCAGACTGTCACCCCTGGAACGCCCAGCACGGGCGTTTTAACCCCAAAACAGGACCATTTGGTCCTGCCCACTCGCGTAAGCGCGAGTGAGAAATACCCCCACCTGCCGCGTTCCACGCAGACAGGGCTCGATCAACTCGAAATGATTACAGAAGTCGTGTGGGCCCGTATCGAAAAGAAACTCGAGAAACGCAAAGAGACTACGTTCGAAGACGAACGTAGGAGTGATGAGCTCGATGAGCTCAGGAACAAGTATGAGATGCTGCAGAACGAGGCCGACGACCTGCGTTCTGAAAACGACCGTCTTCATCGACGGGTCGAATCCCTCCGAAAGGCCAACGACGAACTCAACGAGGACGTCTTTAGAGTCGCGCGCACGGCAAGGGGACGCCCTGCGTCTCCCAAACCCACCCCGATCACATCTTCTGCTCCCTCGTCGTCACGGCCCACTGTTCCCCAAACCATCGTTATCCCCGGGGTTGGCCCGGTGGATCCTGCGTCGGCCAAGTCTGCGCCGTCGAAAAAAACCACCTCTTCCAAGAGATGGGCCCCCACGTCCGACGATGACGAGATGGAAGGCGAATGGGTCGTCGACCCTGATGCCCCGTTCGAAGAATTCGTCGCGAACCGTCCACCCGGCTACCATTACTACGAGTACTACGACGCCAAACTCACTGAAGTGCATGGCGAACCCCTACCCCCACCGACATATTGTCGATCGGTGGCCCTTCCTACCCGCTTCTACGACATCGACCATGTCGATAGAATCGAATTCCCAGACGCGGCTGCGCTCGTCCGCGACAAAGAACCTAAGTGGTTCGAGTTGGTTCGTAACTACATACACACCGAAGAGGGTGTGAGGTTCTATGCTACAATGTACCATCTTGCCTGGTCGTTCAAGACGGGCAAGCCCTCGCAAGAGGACGTCGACACCTGTACCGATTGGTACAGGGTGGCTACAAACAACCGCGCCTCACGAATGCGTATGTCGCGCGACGACATTGAGACGGAGGCGAAAAGACTTCCCGACCAGTACCCCCCGGCTCGTATTGCACGGATGTACATCCTCGCGTGTCGATGGATAAAACCAATGACTGACGACGCTCGTGAGCGTCGTAAAATTCAACGCCAGGAACGAGCACTTATGTACTCGAACCCTCCCCCAACATCGTACTCAAACCCACCTATGATGTACGCGAGCCCACACCCTGTGGCGTATTCAAACGCCCCACCTCCGCCGCAATACCCCCCTCCGACGTATGCACACTCGTCGGTGTACGAATCCGCCCACGCACCACCAGTGCGAGGGCGTGCTCCCTCTTCTCATGGACGTGGCCATCCCGCGCACCATGTCCATTATTCGCACCGTCGTCAAGACGAGGATTCGTCCATGAACGACGCTGATGTCGAGACTCGTCACTACGACGACAACTATCTGAGTGACGATGTCGCTGTCGACGCGGCTAGGTCCACGACGACTCGTAGGACTACGTCGAATCGCCCATCCGGCTCTGGCCCGTCCGGGTCAGCGCCGCGTAAACGAATGAGGAACTGACCCCCCCTCATCCATACCTTCGTCAACGACAATGCCATCGTTGATTACCCACTTTCGTCAACGACAAGGCCGTCGTTGATCAATAATCTCTTACCTTCGTCAACGACAATGCTGTCGTTGATTGTCTATTCTGTACCCTTCGTCCTTCGTCAACGCAATCGTCGTTGATTATTCATTTTCTCGTCGGCGACAACTCTGCCGTCGACGACCTACACTGTCAACATCGTCACGGTGGACGATGGTATTTAATAAACTCACAACGACGAGAAAGTCGTTCCATCGTCGACAACACTGTCGTCGAGATCTGGGTGCATATGTTCCAGGAGAAACTCTAAGTGGGCTTCGCCTACAAAATACTATTATAGCCTCCTGCAATGAGTGTGCCCCCGTTTGCATACATTCTTCGTATGTAGAACGTTTTTTTTTTATTTCTTTAAAAATGCTTGCTTTCCCCTTGTGTATATATGCTAGTACCCTGTCTGCGATCTAGTATCGCAAGGGAGGAGGATGTGAGGCCCCGGCCCATGTCTATATTCCGCCCACAACATCAGTTGATGTTGTGTTGTGTAATAATTATGTCGCGACGCTAATTTAGCGTCGCGGAAGCTTCTCTATTTATTTGTGCCGAGAATGTATAAGATTGTATATAAACCCTCGGGGTAGCTGTAAAAGGCAGATTAGCCTTTACTTCTACCCCGTCAATATACAGCCAAATCAAGCGTATACTTAGACGGATTACTGAGGCCTGAGGCGAACGGGGGAATGGAACATTACCGTCCCCAAACTAGTAAGACAACCTTTCACCTGCATAGCCAAGTGTATATATTTCACTATACATCTCATGCCCTGCATAGTGTGAGGTCACGTTAGATGGGGGTTGAGGTCAGGGAGCCTCCAAGTCTGAGGCCGGGCCCTGACAAGGACATGGACAATGAGGAGGGTGAATGCTTTGACCTAGGTTTGGATGATAGGGTGAATAGAATAGACTTTTAATTCAGCTGCCAAAGCTGAGTTCACACATCAAGGTAGGCCCGAACTGAGGAAAAGAAATATAATTAAAATTCCCACTGCTCTGTAGCAGGTCCTACGTTTTTTTCTCCTGTCCTATGCACAGGGTCCTGTATGACCCCCAAACCCAGGGTCCATTCTCTGCCCCATACAGTTCTATTCCGCTTGCTGCATGGCTGCAGTGTAAATTACGTGGTGCTGAACTTATCAGAGTATGCAGTGGGTTTACAGCGCGAGAGTGAATCTCAGGCTTCATCTCAGCCAATAGTAACATTGAGTGAACATGCATGCAAGGTAAGAGTAGCGGGATCTGCCGCTTCAGGCTGCGTTCCCCAGTTATACATGGATATATCCGTGTGGTCTGACACGGACATGTCCGAGGTAATAGAAAGCAAATGTGACCATGTGATAAGACATGTCACATGTGGATGACAGCACGTGCCTTGCGGCACGCTGCCCTTCCAACAAAACCCAGCTGCAGCTTGGACTGGGTAATATGTGAGGGTTCCTATTCCAGCATGAGTTCACAGCGGAATTGAGTCAAAAGGAAAGGCCGTTCTGTCAATCAGAAGACGGTATCAACAGTTAATATGATGGAACATCATAATGCAAGGAAATCAACCAAATCATATTCAAAAGCTGAATGCGAATTAAATCACACAAAAAAAAAGAGTAAAGCCCGATACACAATTATTCACCACAAATCTCAGTTGGGCTCTACTTTATAGCCACATCCTAGCCATATCATCCGCCAGCCAAGTTTCTTCGTTTTAGTACTATCCTCGGTTTACACATTTACCGTGATGGTATTAGAGAAGTAATTGGGGGTATTTGACGTGCCAAAGCGAATGCATCTACCCAAAGATCGCTGCACCAGCACGTTGAGACACCACCAGCTTGATAACGCGAGCCTTCTCAGTGCGATGGAATATGATAGGAGTCCATAAGCAAAGAGTCAGTGGCTGATGTCGCCGAGGCGTTCTTCGATAGCCTTGAAAAGCCTACGCTCGCTATAGTAAAATTGCACCCATTCTTCAGCATCGTGGGATGGATGCTAACCAAAAAAATGATGTTTTTTGATGTGAGAACTAGACGAAATGCTACGTAACACACCTGTTCGGCGAATTGTTCCCAACTGGCCAAATTCTGGTAAATGCCATTGGGACGAGAACGAGAAGCGACCCAATTCATTGCAGCGACAAAATCCGCTCTCGTAAACGATGATGAAGACATTTCCATAGTTGGGGCTACAACTGTTAATTTCTTTGTGTGGGTACCTCTGCGAGCCACGGAGATAGATGTAGGCGCATCAAGGCGCGAATGCTTTTTTTTGGGCAAATCCAGTTTCTCGTTTGAGCGGAGCCTCTTCAGCGCTCGCTCCGCCGCCGTGACATTATTGTTTGCATCCGAGGAAGAACTACTGCTCTTTCGGCGATCATGCGAACTTGTCGAAGAACTCGATGTTGACGAATATTCCTCATCAACGTCATGTCGATTAGGATAAATATAATTAACGTAGCGTGTTTTCCAGCCCCATTGGCTTCTGGAAGGGTTCTACATGTGGGCTAGACGTTAGACTGACCGGGAAAACGCAGAGCAGAGGCAAACCTTTTCGCTTAGCTTTTCCCATTCCTGCATGGGGATATACAAGGGGTAACCCCGCTGTCGTGCGAATTGGATCAAAAGGTCGTCTTCAGCGGCAGTGAAACGCCTATTGGGTCGTAAGGTGGGACGAGATAGGTTTCCCGATGGTGGATCGTGCGTCGTGGCGCGGAAGGACGGCCGAGCCTCCGGGGATGCGCGATCGACGCCATGGCCTATATCTGGATGCCGTAAGAAATACGTGTGCAGGGAAAATGCAGAACGATTTTGCTGATGGATCATGTTTCAGTAGAACTAGGTGCAATATAAGAAGCGTCCCTCACTAGTTTTTCAAATGCAAGCCAGACGTGAAAATCCTTGCTATATTTATGCCTGTGTTTTGCATAGAACTCTTTCATAGCACGATGTTCCTCAGGTGTATATTTTGGTCGCCGACCATGGCGAGTAACCACAGTTTCGGGTGGATCTATGTCGGAGGCCTGGCAGCTGGAAGCTTCGGGCGGCTGAAAGGGAGGATTCTCTCCCCGCAGGAATCGTGTAACCGCTGCGTTGAAGTATTCGCGATGTCGATCATGATGTTGATTGTATGCCTGGGATGATCGCTCGCAGTGCTATTCAAAACGAACATATACGATTGGATGCAATGATAGTGGAAACAAAGAAGAAATACCTTGCCGGAGAACGCTGACCACAAAGCCTTTCCGTCTAATTGCGGATGAGAGGCAATGTGTCTGATCATCGCCTCATTCTCACTATCGGCGTATCTTCTGGTGGCTTTCGAGCTTTCATCGGCATGACCACTTTTCGGAGGGTTCGACTTTCTCTTCGCGCCCCGAGTGGTTGAACCTGGTCTTGGAGGAATAAGTGGCAGCAACGCGTTCGCTCGACGACGGACTTCGCTGCCCTTGTGGTTCAAATTCGTCCAGTAATTCTCAGACCGATGGGGAATCTGGGGAATGCAATGTTGGAATGAAACCTGAGCTCGCGAGCTAAGAGTGACGGCATGAAATTACTTACGTTTGCGCCCAACCATCGATACAAATCTATCCAAGGAGCGGCAGGCCGGGGCGCAAAAAAACGAGGAACAATCCAGAGGAAGAATTTTTCGTCAAGCGATTTAGTGGCAGGAGATGGTGGTAGGTTGCTGATCTCGGGTCGAGAGGGCAATGAGAGGAGGTCTTCGAGTGCAGGAGCTTCAACATCCACATCCTCCCAATCCCAATTCTTGGCTTCCTGGCCTCCATCGGATTGCTCATTCTGTTCTTCTTCCTCTTCAGGCTTCCACAGAACGTAATCCTCGGGATCTTGGACACACTGGGCACGCACCGAGTTTAACACCCATTCGGAGGAAATTCCGACTGTACCCTGCTCATCGTTACAGAGTTCGGGGTAGTCTCCGGGGGTCATATCGGTGTGGATGATGGCGAAGAAAGCTTCAGCTACGTGCTCCACTATTTGACCACCGTGTGCCTGTGGATCGAGCTCAAGATATCATACAGAATTGGGATACTGAAAGTCGCACCTTGATGCTTTCAACAACGAATGTGCGATTCGGCAGGTTCGGATGCACCCAAATGTCGTAGCTCGTATGATTATCCTCGTGGAAGAAAATTTTGGGGTCAGGAAGCGGCGTTTCAGCGATGCCTGACGGTTGAGAATCCATGTTAGTTACGGCGGTACGAGCATCGGACGATGTAGGCGGGGAGAGTGGATGCGGGAGGCTAACTCCCCGAGCTAGAACTGGTGATGGGAGAGCGACCAGGGATTCCTGTGCGGCATCTGTCATGAGAGTAAAGTGATAGGGGTCCCTAATAATAGAGCCGGATGCTTGAAATGTTCTTGGAGGGAACAGGGGCGACCGGAAATATCACATATACCAGACGTGAGGAAACTGTGAGTTTGGAGGCTGTTCTGTGACTTGAATGCAAACTTGCTTTTCCGCCCCTGGCAAATCCCGACGTCGGGACCGCCCTTGCTCTCACAGTCGACGAGCATCTCTCGTTGATCTGTATGGGCAACGACCTTCGTAAGCGCAGTGCTTGACCTGATGTGGCGAGTTCAGCCAGTCCTGCACGAACCGGACCCCATAGTGTGGGTGTTGTTTCCCTCACGGCTCAGTCGTTACTTGCCGCTGCCGACTTATTTCACTGCGGAACAGCAGGGGGCACTTCTGATTTGGGCCATAGTCGTTATACTTAAGTTGCTGGGGTTATTCAGCCCATCTCGTTTTTTGCTCCCAGCCCTGCTATGGACGAGCTAAGCAGGATCCCAGCCTCTATTAAAGTAGATGAACGAGCTAGCTCTGACCTGTGGGAAGTGACGAGTTGGCTGCATCGGAAAGGTCAAGTAGAAGGGCTTCACTGTCGAGATCGAATACTTCTTTCTGGTGCATTCAGGTGAGGGGACATCTCTCAGGACGATCAGTTTCACTAGATGCGCTCTTGCAACGTTCCTACACCCTTTATTCGGTTCATCGCACGGTCGATAAAGCATGTTTTCCGAAGCTTAATTCCGTGATGCATACGGTTTTTTCCGTTGCCGGTTGGCAGAACTATAGAGCCCGTGGGCTGGTAGCGAAACGGAATGTGAGCAGTAAAACCATTAATGATATGGATTTCTCCTGGGGCCACATGCTGCGCTTGGTGGTTATGTGAGCTCGACTGGCGCACCCTGCGAGCATGAGGAAGGTAGAGGGAGCTTCCAAGGCTGGTTATAACAGGAATCTGCAACCATATGCATGTCGGCGTCTGGTGTCCCACGCTGGATCCCTCATGCAGACCAGTATATACTTTTAGAGCTGCTTCTGGCCATGACGCTTCCTCTTTGTGGCTTCGCGCTTATGATCTATCGTGTGGCCCTCCGGCGCGTGGATGAATACATGAACACGACGCCTGACGCGGCAGGTAACGTAAGCGTGGAAAATAACAGCTTACTCCGCCTTTCTTCCGGCCACATGTATATTCGATAAAGCTCCCCAACATACATCCGGCTCGCTAACGTAGGTATCACTCTAGCTCGACGACCGCCCATACTTCACTGGCTTTCAAGGCCGCCCTTAAACTAGTGGAGGATACACGTTTGCACCGAGTGAACTATTTAGTTTAGCACCAATCAAGAGGACCCTTCCCCGGCTCCATCCGGAAGCCACTGCTTGCTGACGGACCACCCGGTGACATGACTTATCGCCCTCACCGATAGCCACCTACTGCTAGCGGCAGCGGCACAACCTCAAGGAAAAGCCCATGGCGTTATTAGCAGTATGCTTACCTGCAGAAGTGGCATCACTGCCTCCGCTTTAGATGTGTGTGTTGTCCATCCTTCAAACAGTCGGCTTCGCAGTTGTTAATTCATGCCCTCGAGCAAGCCTAAATTTCCCTGCATACAGATCGACGACTTTGGGGTCACCCAGTCGAACCTCATTGCAGGTGGCATCAACCAGCGTCCGAAGTCTCGACAATTTGAGATCCGTCTAATTATTTGTACCAAGTTACCACCTGAGTTATCACGTCCAGGAAGGAACATTATTCCCCCAATACACGTTACAAGAGGCCATGATAGGACAGATTGTGCTACGAGTCTCGCAAGTTGATTCTGACACACATGTCATTATATACGAAGGGTGTACGGCATCACCCAAGGGCCAAATAAAAACAGGTCATAAATCTCCAGCACTAAATGCCGAAGCGAAAACGAAACGGTTCTCCATAGAAGCAAGTGACAATACACTGGAAAAAATCGATCTTAAGGCTGCGGTCCCTAGATCATGCAAACTTGCTTAGCGGTACAACACGTACATAACCTCTTCTCGTGCGTGCGCAAGCTGAATCAATGGACCCAGTTGAGAGTCCCAAGAGAAATTTGACTGAGCTGGTCCCAATAAAGCACTGGGAGTGGGTGCACGCTTCAATAAAGGCCAAGGACCTATGAGAATAAAATCACCAACCAGTATCATGCGCGATGATCCTCCCGAGCAACGGGATCATTTCCGCGACCAACTCCACAAACCTTCTTGTCCTTGCACCGGCGTTGTTCACTTGCTCGTCGCGCTGAGATCTGAGCTGAGCTTCCGTGAACTCACTGACGACGTCGACGACTGTGTCAAAAGAGAAGAAAGACCCTGTGACGTTGGATGCTCTCGGGAGGGACCTCATTTGGAGTTCTGCCCCCAAGTGGGCGAAACCGAGCGGACTCGTAGGAGAAAGCACGAGGTGGGGATAGTCGCCGAATTGCGGGAGTCTATCAGGGTTTGAGGCGCCGACATCCAACATTCAAGACAAACAGGGACATACAATGTGGCAACTGCATCCTTGTCGTTCGTAACCCTCCAAAGTGTCCTCACATACTCGCTCTCAGCGGTTAGGGTATTGAAAGCTAAAGAGGTCGCGCGATCGCCACAAACGGGCGCAGCGAAGAGATATGCGTCACGAATCAGGACTGGCGAGCCCTCGAAATCACCCGGCGAATTGATCGCGCGTGCATACGCTAATGAGGCGAGACCACATCCAACTACCGCATATTATCAATTTGAGCTTTCCTCAGGGGTATAGACAACACGTACGGGAATGGCCAGTGAACCAAACATTCACTTTCGCACCTTCCAGTTCGGTTTTTGCTAGGTCGTGCGCAAGTACCCGCAATGCAACGCGGATTGTGTCCCAAGATCTTCCACCGTCGGGAAACAATCCCGCCTCCCCTGCTGGGTCCCAGGCCCACAGCCTATCTTTGAAACCTTTATTTATACGACCATCGAGGCCCTGCAAAAATTCCCCTGTCGAGACGAGGTTGACGGTGAAATCTGTCACCCAGTCTGCGAATTCAAAGGGAGTCGTTCCTTTGAACGTTACGACAACCCAATTGCCTCCAGGCTTCCAGAAAAACGAGCAGTATGCCTAAAGAAAGGGAGGATAGGCATCAGCATAGCGTTTGGCCCCTCTAATTCCAACTCGAGGCGAAAGAACAACTCACGCCCTCACTGTTGTTCAACTCACTAACGGGCTCGTACCTGAGCCCAATGAAGTCACTGAGCCTCCTGATTGCATCCTCACCAGCCGTTCGACCGGCTTCAAATGCGGCCTTGATCGGCGCCGCCTGTTCAGGACCGAAAAGCGAATCGACCAAAGTCCCAGGGGGGAGGGCTCCAAGATCAGGTAATTGTTCATTCGTTGGTCTGGCTTCACTAAGCTCATTCAAGACACCGTGAATGGGTTGCGATTCATGTTCATACACGACAGAAGCAAGTTGAAGCAGCAGAGTTGCAATGTCGAGATTAAATTCACGCCTGGCGGCAGGAGGGAAAGAGCTTAAAGGAGCAGAGGAAAGTGCCCGCATTGCATATTCGATTTGCTCGCCGGTGAGTGCGGTGAAGAGACCTGGATAGACTTCGAAGCTACGTTGAAACCACCATTATTGAACACTGCGTCACAAGGCAAACCTACAGGCGTTGATAAGACCTAGGCCATTGAAGCACCGATTGGAAATCCAACTGTAGATTCCCCTTACCGGAGGGATGTTCACGAGTTGGCAGAAGATAAGAGCTACGAGGAGCACAATCGAGGTGAGTAGTGAGATGACGACTGTCAAAGCCCAATCAAAAATAGCTGTTAAGATAGAGAGGTAAACTCAAGTGACTATTCCATCCGGAGCTAAACATGCAACGCACGAAGCTCGCCGATTATCCAAGAACAAAACACGTAACCCCATGTCACCCGTAAGTACCAGGTGTAAACCCCTATATTGAAGAACAATAGCCTGAACCAGTTATCTTAAGAGGACAAGGTGGCGTATCGTCAGGAGTTCATCCCAGTTCACAAGACAACGGGCGTACTTCCACGAGTCCGAGCATAAGTGGTAGTTCCAATAACATTCATTGTCACGATCTCGTCGAGTCGTAACGCAGCAAGTTTGTCATTAGTCGATGCATCAGAATTCACCAGATATTCAACGGCGGAAGTCATATCGGCGGCGGCGGAAAAAGTCGTTATGGATAGCAGGTCGTAGCAAGGCGCACGACGCGCGAAAGAGGCTTCGAATATTCAGCTTGGCTAGCGGAAAGACCGTCCCTTGTACCGATTTCAAATACGATATATTCAGCCGGAAGTGCACCCTCTCGAGCATTCCGATAAGCCAAGATGCCACGCCATGTGCCTTTCCATGCATCAAGAAAGATGATTGCATATTAGACTGATGTGCGCGCTGCGAGCTGGCGACAGATATGCAATCTCGTAGGTGTCAGTATGTTGGCCTTGGAAGTTACCGAGCGATGAGGCAGTACTCCAGCCCCTACGATTGCGTAATATTTACCGAGCGGTCGCAGGTCTGTCGCTCATTGCAAGGGGTGGCTTCTAATACATGGGAACTTCTTTTTCGCACCCTTCTATAATTGTTTCCGCCCTTGATCACAAACGGATCCCACTGTCCAAACCACACGGAGGTTCACTGAATGACTTATGTGCATACAGAACACGCACGCGCCGCGTGCGTGTGGGATGTCTCTTTGCCTCAGCAGCCATGAATACTACAAAATTTAGGGGGGCACCAAAGTGAGTGTCCAATCCCCATATATATACACGCCAACGATTACATAAGGTGGCGGCTATTGTCTTGATGTGCATGATGTCTAGGTCATTGGAAGATACTATATAATATTACGAAGTCATAGATGGAGCAAATGGTGATAGCTCAGAGCAGTGTCATTGGGCCAACAACAAAATTGCCACGGCCCGGCCATGCATGCCCCGGGGGTGTTGGACAGTGGGACCGGCCGAGGTTCTCTCGCGCAATTTAATATCCAACCTTGGCTGAAGCAGTTGAACACAGCATGGAGTTTTCGTAAGTGATTCTGGTAATTGATCGATGGTTTTTGACGTACAAACATTGAGCCTTGGGTATTTGAAGGTACTGACAAGGTCAATCTGCATGCGCTTGCGCACGACCCCATGCCCTACGTAATTTATGGTGCTCATGGTGTGTCCAAGACCCCTGGATAGAAGTTCGTGGTGGAGTCCCCGGGGGCTGTCTTGAGTTGCAAAGGCACCACCAGGCAGCAGAACGGGTACTTTGACCTTCTCGGGGTGTATCTTCATATCGTCGCTGCCGAACTTACCTACATTACCTACAAGCTCAAGCTAGACAATGAACGAGCATGATGTGCCTGTCGACACCCCGCGCATGGATAGAGGTATCATCTCTAAACTGCAATCTGGTTTATCCGCAGACTCCTCCCCAGTGAAAGAAGGTAGGATCTCAGAGACGAGTATTTGAATCCATATTGGATGATGCCATTATCACCGCATCATATGGCATCTATGATCTCGCTCATTATTGATCTTTAACATTTTGGCATCCTTTCATTACCGTACGTAAGTACTTACCTTACAGTCCGGAATAACAACAACGTTTTGTCCGGTGGAATTCGGGTATCACCCCTCATAACAACATTTTCCATTAGATAGACCATGGGGCATTGGGGCGTTGGGGCATTGGGGTAGGCATACCACTTTGGTTTACTCCCATAGTCACACCACCCGTCAGATGTGCGTAAAGCGATTTGCTTTTTGGATGGTTTTCCATATATATAGTAATTTGGACATTCAACTGTTGGAAAAGGGAAATCGGTTGCGTTCCATGCACGCGACATTCATTCCCCACACTTCTCGTCAGAGAACGAACTGCGATTGTTCCTAGATGGAGTCTATCCAGATAATTAGGGTCCTAGCGCCCAGCAATTTACTCAAATCCTCCGTAATCTCGCCAACTTTTTCGGTTGGATGATTCATTCATTCTCCTGCACCACCCACTCATTACTTGACATGTCTTGCAACGGGTCAGGGTGTGCAAGTGCTCAAACGACAACGCATTCCCCAAGCCCTAAGAATATGCACGTTTCGCGCATTTTCTATGTTATCCCGATGTCATAAGTGTAATGTGTGGCCGAAAAACAGGAAGCATCATCAATGATGAAGAGATAGAGTGGGGAAGATCTGGACTACATCATCGAATAGAGCCAGTCATGATACCGACCAGCGCCCGGCGCTAGTACGCTGTGCACCCGCGCGCACTGCACCGCGATCATGCCGATCATCACATCCACCGTCGTTTAGCGCTAGTCATAGCCCCTCGTGGTAGTTTCCGTTGATGACATCTGAAGAAATGTTTGAATCCCTGGTTGCGTGGGATATACACGGTGGGAATTGGAGATTCCCACTAGTCAGCTAGGGACCGGCGGATTCGCCGAAGCCACAAGGGTAGTTGAAGCCACAAACGATGGGAATGCATGGTGTTAACAACAATGGTAAGACTGGAAATCGAGCCCCGCACTGGAGTCAAGCAGCAGTAATCAATCCAACGGGGTTGCAACGGGGTACTTGAAAACCGGTGTTCCGACTCCGCGTAAGCCGAATATATACATGATTGATATTAAGTGGCTGTGATCAGGGTGCCACAAATTGCAACGCCTACCTGGTTACATTAATTTTTTATGCGCCCATGAATATACATAAGTAATAAGTTGGGGCATAAGTGATTGTCCAAAGGGGGGGATAACAGCCCACCCCCACAAGCTCGTACAAGCCAATTCTTCCTGTGCCAGTAATGCCTCATGGACAACCCAAGCCCTCCACGGCCTTCCATGCTGCCCTAAGGACTGTCGACAACCTTTTGGAAGATGCATCTCTTACAGCCCAGGCTATCAATCGTTCCTGGGGTCCTTTGCCAAAGACGACGGAGGACTTCAACGAGGCCGAACCTACATCGACCATAGCCAGCGGTATTGAGGCTGTTCGTGCGCAGATCAAACGAGGACTACCCATCGAAGGCGATCCTATAGAAATCGCCGTACGTTTCTCTGCGCAATTCGCCGGAGTTTCGTTCCCGAGATCGTACACTGACTGATGTGCTTTGTGTCCACGTAGGGAACCGTGTTGGATGTTGCCAAGGCAGGTTCCCCATTTGCGACTGAGGGGCTCGATGATCGCAAGTTCGCGGTACGTACTATAGTCCCTTCTGGGTCTCAACTCCCTGCTTTGCGAGACTCTCGCAGTAAACTTGTCCCCCTTCTTAGCTCGAATACATTCTCTCTTTTCTCTCTCGCGCGGAACCACGAATCACAGCGCCAGTTGAACATCTCGCCATTCGAACTCTCTACTATGACCTTTCTCATCCACCTGCCACGAACATGGGCCAAAAGTATCAGTTCCGTTCTGCGGATGGGTCAGGTAATAGTGCCTACGACCCAGATATGGGTAAAGCCTTCTCGCCGTATTCTAGGAGTTGCACTGGCTCGCGGCCGTTACCAGACTCGGAGTTACCTGATCCTGGTTTGGTATTTGATGCAATTATCAAAAGGGATCCTAAGTTTACTGCACATCCTGCTGGGTATAGTGGGCTATTTTTCAATTTTGCGGTGCGTTCCCTCCCCCCCCTTTCGAAGCAATGTTTCCAAAAAGGAAAATTATTCCTCATGCGCCTCTTCTTTCAGACGTTTGTCATTCACAGCGTATTCCGGACGAGTCGAACGGATTTTAATATCAACGAGACGTCGTCTTACGTTGACCTGGGCATTCTGTATGGGAACACGCAGGCCCATCAGGATAAGATTCGTTACGTAGACGGTCGTGGAAGGATCCTTCCTGATGTTTATGCTGAATTCCGCCTCATCAACTTGCCTCCTGCTGTGAACGCGGTTCGTGTTTTTGCGCCAATTTCGATCTCTGCGTTGAGACTCACTCGCATTCCATTTGCTCCAGCTTATCATCATGTTTAGCCGCAACCACAACGTACGTGCTCTTCAGCAGCCGGAGTTTGATCTTCGTTCTGATTATACCGCAGTATATTGCCGATATGTTGCTTCGTATCAACGAGCGTGGAACGTGGACCCAGGATATCCAGAGCCTGGACAAGGAATTGCTTGTCAAACAAGACTATGAGATTTTCAATACTGCACGCCTCATCAACTCTGCGACTTTCGCGTTTGTCATCCTCGGAGATTACCTCGCTGCTATTCTGGGCACTCTACGAGATGGATCCAGCTGGACGTTGAATATCAGCGGTGAGAGGAGGGAGAGCGATCATCAACTCCTGGAAAGAGGACGAGGGAATTCTTGTTCGGTGGAATTTAATACGCTTTATCGTTGGCATCCTGGTTTAAGTGCCGAGGATGCGGAGTATAATGGTGGGTTCTATTTTCTCGATTCGAGTCTCAGAATACTCGAGAGATACTCATGAGACTGATTAATTTAGAGCAAGTGTTCCAGTACTTGTTCGCCAAGGAACCTGGTGTGCCTGTTGACTTTGACAAGGTTTGTTCGGCTCGCACCCTCATTCGCTTCAACTCCCCTCAATTTTTTTTCTCTCTTTTTTCAGATTACTCCCGCGGATTTCGAGAACGTTCTTGGCAAGAAAGCCGTGGCTGCTACGTACAGCCGCCTACGAGATAAGGACGGCAAGCCTGCTCCATTACCCGATTTCGATCACCTTACGCCCCGACAAGTCGAGTCTCTCATCGACGATAGCAAACCTGTGGACTACCTTCTCGACCAGTGGTCTTTCAAAGGTTTTTCGCTCCCAGGATCCAAGGCCTTCGATAGGAATCCAAGAGATCCGAAGACGAAAAAGTACAAGGATGATTTGCTGGCGAATGCGTTGTTGAGCGCTACCTCAGTCCCTGCTCATGCATTCGGAGCTAGAGGCGTGCCTGGTGCCTTGCGAGTCATCGAGATTCTGGGCATTCAACAGGCTCGATCGTGGGGAACTTGTTCCCTTAACGAGTTCCGAAGGTTCTTAGGCCTGAAGGCCTATTCAACGTTCGAAGATTGGAATCCAGATAAGGAAGTAGCCGAGGCTGCTCGTAAGCTTTATAGGACGACGGAAAATTTGGAGTTGTATGTTGGCCTTGTAGCGGAGGAAGCCAAGCCTATCAGGGATGGCTCGGGGTTATGTCCTTCATGTGCGCGATATATTTCCCTTTCTCCTAAAACGGCCTGCGTTACTAAAACATTCGCCGTCGTCGTTGTGGATATCAGACACCGTCTCCAGAGCGATCCTAGCGGACGCTGTCGCTTTGGTTCGTGGTGATCGTTATTTGACGTTTGATTTGACACCTTTCAACTTGACAACGTGGGGTTTTGCCGAGGCTAATCGGAATATCACCAATGCTGCTTGGGGTGGTGTTCTTGGTCGACTTTTAGCCCGTGGTCTTCCTCAACATTACGATGCCACTTCGGTGTACACTCACTTCCCTCTCATCACGCCCAAGGGACAACCGTTTTCGATGGATACCATTCTCGCCAAATTGGGACAAGCGAAGGAATTTACGTTCGATAAGCCCATCAAGAAAGGTGTTCTTCGCGTCGTCGTGGATCCTCACCATATCGAGATGGCTTTAGGGGGCCCGCCTATGGCTATCCAGGGTCTTGTGACCCAGTACGTGAAGAACGTGAGAGACATAGGTCTGACTCCTAGCTTCCTTACCGTTATCGACGATGTCGCAGCCTATGCGCGTGTTACGGCTTTGGTGCAAGATCACTTCGTTCCCGCTTCTGAACTAGGGAAGAATGGAAAGTGGTTCTACGAGAAGGCGCGTCAGTTGATCAAAGAAAATTCGTATACGGTGTATGCCAAGGCTCCGAAGAGCGTGGATGTTGTGAAGGACGTGCTTAGGATCATCCCTGTGCATTGGGCTGCTCAAGTTGTGCGTTTCCACCGTTCGCCCTTATTTTTTTTTATTTTGGTGCGCTGATACACGGACGACTCGGAATTAAGGCCGGACTCCCCGTCAAGACAGCGCAAGAGACGAGAGGGATTTACTATGAACAGCAAATATATCAGATGCTGAAGGAAATCTATTCGTCAGTACATTGTTATCGTGCCCTTCCTCCCCCAAATAACGAATTTGTGCCATTTCCCAGGTACATCTTCTTGGAACCCGAACCATCTTTGAAGATTCCTAACCAAAGGGAAGCTCGCGAGAACGTTGATCGCCTGCGTCGATTTGTGAAACTTAGCCTGACGGAGGCGAAGGGCGGTGTACGTAGTCACTCCGTGCCTTCCCGAATCGGTAGTCCAGTCATGCTGATACACCATATTTTTTAAGTTGTCTTCCTCGGTTTTGGGTGGCTTGGCGAGCATAGTCCTTGGCGAAGGCAACCAGAGCGCCAACCCTATCCTCAAGCGACTCCTCGCTCTTGGATCACCAACGGATGAACTTGCGAATGACATTATTGCCGTCATTTCGAGCGCCATCGAGTTATCTCAAGGTAAGGGGGAGGACAAATTGAGTGACTTTTCATCTACCTATGAGCGTGTTCGCTGATCACCTGTTCGATGTTTGTCTTGAATGATAGTCTTCACTCACGTCATAAACTTCTACCTGCCTCAACGTCAGGAGGTGAATGCATGGAAGCCTTCTGCTACGGAACGCACTACTACGTCCCGAGGTGAAGGGGTTGCCAGTAACATCGCTGCTGTAGCGGCAAGAGGTGGAGATGAGATGTCGTTGCGTACCCTTGAAGGGTATGTTCTAGAGGCACTGCGTAGGTTCTTCGGACATATTTTTCTAAACTCGTACCTAATGAAACCGAATGTAGGCTTCGACCCCGTTACACCAGGTGTCTACCGTGTTGTAACCACCGATATCCCACACATGATGGCAATGGTCCCCGGTGTGAAAGGCGACAGATTCTACTTTGATTTCACCAAGGCGGCTGTCGATCCTAAAGCCTTTGACGATGCTCATCAAATCAATCCCCATCGCAACCCGGCCTCCTACGTCATCTACGAGGGCGATGGTGTGTTTAAGACCCTTGGCCAGAAGTTTGTTGTAAGGGTTACTGCTGAGGTGCTTAGAGCCGTCTTCGAGCTCAGGAACGTACAAAGGACTCCAGGGAAGGGTGGAATACTGAGAAGGTCTGAATCCAAACCATATCTCCCAACAAAGCTGATCGATTGTTTTCATGACCTAACAGATTCAAAGAGCCCGTTGTCACTGTGGACGATATCGTCACCGCTGAAACGACTCAGGTGCCCTTCAAGGAAGTGGATTCAAAAGGAGTGCTCGTCGATACCCAGTGGACGGAAGAGGTCAACGTTTACAAGTTGCATTCTGGTATTTCCAGGGAAGAAGGCAAGATCCCGGCTGAACGGTGGGCTTATTTGGATCCGGAAATTGGACATCATCCTTCTACCTGGGCGACAGGATTGACTATTGAGGTATGTGCCCCCCTTTTGTTGCGGGGTTGCGTTGTTCCACTCGTGTGAATGCTGACGCTGAATGCAATGCTTCGTTTATTTAGTATCATAACGACCTCGCTTCGAGGGGATGAGTAGCACCAGAGGATGCTGTATTGACGGTTTCCTTCCCTTAATTGTAGTTTAGCTGCACAAGTTACCGTGCAATTTCAGATCATCACCTACCCTACGTGTGATTTCGCTCGCTCAAGTGGCTTCCAACTCGGTTTCTGTGCTCCGGAGCGGGGTTACGGGACCGGAACTCTTTGATTTGCTAAGCTATACATATGTGACGGTAAGCATTAAGGGCAAGATCAAATGCTGCGAACATTTTGAAAGTAAGCACGGTTCGCGGCACATCAGAGCCTCATGCATTGTGGGATACCTCCGCTTTGTACACATGATAAAGAAAGGATCTGGGACTCTAGTTCAAACTGCAGGCCCAGTGCTCAAAATTAGAAAATATCCAGGATATGATGTTTGAACTTATTTTCGTGAAGGGGCATTGTAAGCGGGCTAGGGATCTAACCCAGCAGGCAAACAGGAAAAGGAGGGGACTGGATCAGTATCCAGCAGGTCAAGGAAAAGGGTAAGGAAAATGGTCCAGTGCGGTATGGTGCATGGTCTACACTAATCAATCTCTTGCCCCACCTCTCTGGGTGTGACACTAAGGCAAGGACTGATCTAGTGGTCTCTTCTTGATCATCTTCTTTGTACTACAACTCCCTACTAGTTTGGGAGGGGCAAACAAACTCTCTGGTTTCTAGTCCCAGGGAAAAGGTAGATCCATCCTCATGTACAACTATATATGCTGGAAATGTCTAGTGTGTCCTTGGTAGAACTGGACAAGAGTGGACAATTCCAGAGTGGAACTGGAGACTTAGCAAGGAGGGACCTTGGCCTCAGCGACTCAAGGGGAGTGCTGTGCCATTGCTGTTTGTCCATTTGGTCCTTAATTTCAGAAGTGGCGAGCAGGAAGTCTCTAGGGGGCATTTCTAGTTGATTTTAGACTGAGGGTCTAATTGAGTATGTACAAGCACCTGTATATAATGGGGAGATGAAAGCACAAGGAAATCAAAGGGGGTCCGAATCAGAACAAAGGTGTCTAAATGGAGACAAAGGGAGCTACGGAAGTGGAGTGGTACTGAAGGTCATGAGTTAGACTCTATGGTCTGTCCGAAAGGAGGTAAGGAGGGCAAAGCCCAGAGGGGCAGGAGGATGAGGTGAAGTGGGGGTGATTACTAACTGGCTAAATGGAAGGAAGCAGTAGTCCAAATAGGGATGAGGGGGAAGTGCAAAAGATACAGTACAAGTGGCAAAAGTGCTGAGGATGTTCCATAAAGCTCAGAGGTAGCAGAGCTTATGGAGGTTACGGAGATGGAGTTGGAAGTCTGAGGAATATTGGTGATGGAGTTTACGTGAAATGAGGTCACCAATGCAGTGGAACTTAAGCCAAGGTGGAGTCAAAGTCCGAGGTTGGGACCATGATGGAATCTCGGAGCGAAGGTACGAGCTGTGTCCGAGTATGGGGTACAGGACTGTGGCGGAAGGTTGTAACTTGGTGGAGGTTGGTGGAAGAGGGTTGGAGGGAGAGGAGTGATGTGAGGAGCGAGGGGAGGAGGTGATGAGAGGAGGTGAGGTGATGAGAGGTGGTGATGAGAGGTGGCAAGAGGAGTGAGGAGAGGTGTTGTGAGGAGTGGCAAGAGGAGTGGCAAGATGACGTTGTTGTGGGGACAAGTTCGTGCAGGCCAAACCAACATTTATTGCACCCTTCACCCCCTACTGCCTCAGGGACTAGGATTGGTGAGTTGTAGTAATAGTAGGAGTTGTAGAGACTGTGGAGGTGGTTCTGACGAGTCCAAGATCGTCGGATTTGGTGGAGTGGTTGAGGAGATATGACTTGTTCTTTATTTTCCTTACTATTTTCATTCATTCATGCATGTGACTTTCCTTTTATATTTGTATTGGACTCTTCTGTGACAACTGTACAGACAGTCAGTTGTTAGACAGAGTATCAGTGCTATACTCCCCAGGACCACATATCTACCTGAGAGATAGAGAGAGACCTACCCCCCCCAGACCTGAGTTGCAAGTCTAGTTGGATAGACCCATTACAGGGTCACGTCCGAAGGTGGGTATCGGAGCAGACGAGGGTAGGGTAGGACTCTGGAGGTGGTGAAGCGGAGGGTCCAGAAGTCGAATCAGGATCGGGTATGTATGGATATGACAGTCCTGTCATATCCATCCTCTGCCACCACCTTCTGTCACCTCTGGCCATCCTGGGTTGCCTCCACTCTGTCATCTCCAACCTCAGAGCCCCCAGATCCTGCAATCTCCTCTGACTCCCCCAATGGTCACCACCCACCCATTTCAATATATTACCTACACCTCCCTAAGTACAGAACCCTGGACAGCTCCAATGTCTGCAAGTGCACCCCTGCTTCTGCTGGGTAATTTAGTTGCCTACCCTGCAAGCCCACCTTCAGACCACTCCCTCCATTCCACTTCTGGGAGATAATCTGTTAACCCTGTAACCTGAGTTGTTGGTTGGCTAACCCTTGACCCCGTTAGGTCAGCTCCACCCAGCCCCTGCCATTTAGGGACCCGCCACCTAGACTCCCTCTGTATCTATATACAGTGCTCCAAAAAACCGTTCCAATGTTTTTCACTTTTCACTTCATGAGCTTATAGGATCATGGCAGCACATTCTAAAATTCCCAAAAATCTTTAAACATGCATTAGTATCCCCTTCACAGATCTGCAAATATGTAAGCAGTATATCCATTTTTAGTGAAGTTATTTAATTTACAAGGGACCCATGTCATTGGAACAGTTTTTTGGAGTCAATTTTTGGGAGAAGGAAATGGTATCAACTAATATTTGGTATAGCCACCCTTTGCCCTAAGCAGTGCCTCAACCCTCCTAGGCATACTGTAAGGGATTAACCTTACTTCACTATAATTCCGATTATAGTGATATTTATATTATGTTGCATCACTATAATTCCCATTATAGTGATGTGTTTATTTCTTTATTTATTTGTGCCGAGATATGTAAATTACATATATATACCTCGGAGTAGTTGTAAAGGCCCGGTAGCCTTTCACCTCTACCCCGTTGAATATACAGCACATTAAAGCTTATATTTAGACGGACTACCTGAGGCCTGAGGCGAATGGGGGAATGGAACGTACCATCCCCAAAATAGTAAGCAAACCTTTCACATACTTTCAATCAAGTTCTGACAAACCCTTGGTTCTATATTATCCCACTCCTCCTGAAACCACTCCCACAGCTGATGAACACTATTTGGAGGTTCTTCATACTCTCCAAGCTTCTTCTTCACATGATTCCACAAATGTTCAATTGGATTGAGGTCTGGGGACTGAGCAGGCCATTTCATGACCCTGATATCATGGTGTTTGAACCAATTTTGGGCCTTCTGTCAGGGCAACCACACCTTCCCAGACCTCCCCCCACTTCCCTCATCCTCCCATCTTTACATACCTCTCACAACTACAGCCCGCATGCAAACCTGTGGGAAAAATCATGTGGGTCAAGGCAAGCAACTCGCCTTAACCCATGTGACACCTTTTCTGCATCACAGGAACATGCTCAGCTTCTACCCATAGTCACATTATGAACTGTACAGTACATTTCCTTTTTATAGCAGCCAAGTGGGGAATAGGGAAACTTACCCTTCTTCTCAACTCAATCCCTGCTTAGGCAAGTTGTAGCTACCTTCCATAATACATGACAACTCAATCCCTGCTTAGTGAGTTTGAGGAGCTTGGGATAGGATCCAGCACCTGGCTGCCTGGGACACCGCAAGTGTCCAGCTCTGAGGTAGGGCCACCCCCGGACAGAGGCCGGGCCCTGACACCTTCTTGATGGTATGCTTGGGGTCATTGTCCTGCTGGAAGATTGTCAGGGCATACACCCTGACCTAGCCCATACCGCATCCACACCCGCACTCGCACCCGCACCCGTGACTGCACCCGGCTGTTGCACTCCCCGCGCGCGCCCTGTGCTGGATGCTCAGTGCGGCCGGATGGCCCGGACCTCGGGTCTCGGGTCTCATGTGACTTCCGGATATCTCCGGAAGTTTTCGATGTATTGTGGCCACTGTGGGAAGATGAGAAGTTAACTTCCTTCTCATCTCTGACCCACAGTAGGCAAGTTGTATATACTTGCCTCTCTTTTATATATCATCTCTGACCCACAGTAGGTTGTGCCCTGGACAGGGCTGGTTACACCTGGGACTGTGGACCATAGGGGAGGGTCATGGGGACCCGGGAGTCGTCCCCTGACAAAGATGGTGTGGGCTGGGGATTTGTGGTAATAGGAGAGTGTTCCTTGGAATTCATCATCCAGAATCTGGCAGTAGAGGTCTGCATCCATTCTCCCATCAATCTTGCATGCCATCCCAACCCCATCCCATGTCATACATCCCCACACCATAACAGATCCACCACCAAATTTCTTTGTCCCTTGCACCAGGCAGTCACTGAGAGGCTCACCCACCCTCTTCCACACCCATTTCCTCCCATATGAGCCCAGGTGATTGACCTTGGTCTCATCTGACCACACCACTCTCTTCCAGTCCTCAAGAGTCCACTGATTGCAAAGTCCATCCCCTCTCTCTTGTGTTTCTTGGGCCACTTCTTCTTCACCACTGCTTTCCAACCAGCCTTCTTCAGTCCCAGGTGGACTGTCTCAGGTGAGATGCTCTTGTTGGTGATCTTTCAAAGCATTCAAGTCACTTGGGAGGCATTGTCAGCCTTGCCAGAGTTGATAAGGTGGTAGGCATGGCATATGTCAGTCTCTGAGAGCTTGGTTGGATGACCACCACTGGGCTTGGGAACATCAGGACAGTGTGCAGACCATAGCCAAGTGATAGTGGTGAGGCCACAGCCAGTAGCAGATGAGATCTGGCAAGCACTATGACCAGAATCAATGAGGGAAAGGACTTCGGCAATTTTTGAAGCAGACAAGGGACACATTTTGGATTTTGGGGGCATTATGCTGCAAGAATGTTGGGTATTTATGCTCCAGCAATGTTATTTTGTTTATTAGTGTGTACAGTAAACAATATCACATG